CAGTAATGGAAGATGTTCTGCATTTGGCAGCACTGAGCTTTATATTTTGAATAGTAATTAGCACAAGGATCATACTTGTACTAATCAGGACGTCACAGTAGCATCACTGTAACAAAGTGATTTTCCCCATGGATTTAAAACACATCAGAAAAAAAAACCTGAACAAGTAGCTGACTCCAATTAATCTTAGAGGCTACTAGAAGGCTTTTAGGACTTTGTACACTAGTGAATAATACTGCAGAATGGTGCAAAGTTGAAGAAATAGTAAGACAAGAGCAAGGAAATAACCTTAAGTAAGGCAAATAGTAAAGAATTCTGGAAGCTGGGCATAGTAGATCTGCTTTACTTCAAGACTCTGGACATCCAGGAAAGTAAAAAATGCCATGCAGAAATAGCATAGATGATAAGTTCAAATCAGTGTTTAAGAACATGGCATTCTTAAAGGTTTTATTTTCTTTTGTTCTATTACGCCTGTTGACAACCTGGTGCCTATCACATACCTTACTGCAATCTTCCTTCTCTTCCTTTAGTTCTTCCATGTCTTCCCATTCATTGCCACTGTCATATGTCTCTGTAGCAGGCAGGGATGATGAGCAGGGACCATAAACACGTGGTTGTGGGGTTGCCATAGTTGTGGAGAGTGTCTCAGAGCTTCCTCCCCGTGAAAGTGAGGTCACAGACACTGAGCTGACAGTGAGATACTCTTCATCAATAGGGGTTAGAGAAAGAGTTTCAGGCATACATTTTGTGTTTGATACGTCATCATCACTCTTTTTAAATATGTGTCTGGAAAATAAAAAGATTGCAGCGCTGGAGTTTTCCTCCATATGCTTTATTAGATGGCCAATGAAAAGTCTACTGCATATACATGACCTTATTTAAATTTTAACTGAACTGCTAGTTATGGTATTAAACTACTGTCTGAGTCCTCCAGTTTCACTCTAAAAATAAGTAGAGCTAGTTAAAAGATTAAAAAGCTTTCAGAATTTGAAAACAGCCTCTGTAAAATCTTACTTTCCGATTAAAATTACTAAAGCTGTAAAGTTAAAGGCTTCTAGGAGATCTATAACTTGGCTTTCCACCAATCCTTCCTGTTCTGATAATTTATATTCTTTTGCATATTAAAATGGAATGGCCTGTCTTCTGTATGCCAGTGGCTGATATATCCAAAAGAGTATAAAAGGAGGCTGAGTCAATTTGTATTGTATTTTATTGTATAAATTATTATACATGATATACTTATTATTACATAATATCTAAAAATAGAATTTTTTTTTTAAATTTACAAAATATAAATATATTATTATCTTTATGTATTGTATTCCCTCTGGCTCAGGGAATTGTGAGTTGTTTGGGTTTTTTTCCTTCTTCTTCATCACAGTTTGAGTGGTTTTTATTTTCTCTGAAAAAACTTGAAATTAAAAGATCATACAATAGAGAAATTCTTTGTTACTTAGTTAAGTCAGCTCTGAGAAAGTTGAAATTAAAAGGTCATATAGTAAATAAGAAAGTCTTTGGTTCCTATTTAAGTGAACAAGAATCTGTCCACTGATTTCAGGCTGCAGCCAGCTTCAGCTGAACAGCATGAAGGAGTAATGCAGCACTCGCACAACTGTCCTGCAATGCAGACTTACACAAAATCCTAATAAGATGAGAGTAAATAGAAACAGCAGATTAGGGTAGCCAGAATAAGATGGTAAACCTAAATCTTCAGTAATCAGCAGTTATGAGAAGCAGACAGCCTTGTAATTAAACCTAAGCAATTAACTTTCAAAATTCAAAGAGACGAAGGAAAGGCTGCAGAGTGGATTTCAGTATTCCTTACCTATTGATCCGTCCAAATTCACATGGTGAGTAGCAGTTCTGCTTCATTTCTTCCTCTAGGGAGTGTAACACTTCAGAACCAGCAGCTTCTTGATGAAACTTCCAAAGGTGCTTATAGAAACCTTCCCGGGGAGTTGTAAGTTTCTGTGTGGGCTCCTCTTGAAACTCAGCTTCCTGGTCTTCATAAGCTGAGCTGTCCTCTTCAGGAGGCTCACTGAAATCTGCTGCCACTGGAGAATCCAGGCAGTCTTCAAGGTCTGGAGAGGTGCTACCTTCATCACTGGTAGACTGATACATACTATTTCCTACTTCTGCAGTACCTGGCATTTCTGCCACAAACTCCTTAATTGGAGATGGTGCTGGAGTCTGTCAAAACAACAGAAAGGTTAGTATAACTCCTTTCTTCTCTCACACCATCTTTTCTTTAAGGGCAAAATAATTTGAAGAGGCAATATCAGGAAGTATATGGATGTGAAAATATCAAATGATATCTGGGAGGGAGGGGAAAAGAGAGATATTCTCTCACTAAATAACTGCTTTGTCTTTATGCTTATCTCCTGCATTTTTTAGGAGTTCCAGCCAGGAAACTACTACACAAGTTTACTTTTCCCGGTGAATGATTTGCTAGAGGTGGCCCTTTTCTCTTTCTTTTCATATCATGCTTCAACTTTGTGTCTATATTCTCTCCGTTATGTTGAAGTGGCTTCCAGAACTGAGTTCTGTGCAACTGACCCAAGAAGCAGAAGTAATAATACTGGAACACCTAGTGGCATTGTTTTAGTCTCTGCAGTCTCCACTGTTTGAGGAGTGGGGGTGATTTTTGTTTTGTTTTGGTTTACCCTGCAGATTCAGCTAATTATCAGTAAGAATATCCATTGAAACATATCTTTTATCTACTTAAGTTTATTAACAGGTAGCCTGGATAGGAAAAGTTCTTTCTTTTCCTCTCACTCCTGAGAGATATATAGCTGCCTCAAGCTCATCAGTTGTAATAGCTGCAGTTAAGAGTATCTGCAGTTTCTGGCTGAGGATCTAGCTGAGCATTTTTAAAAGCATCACTAGATCTCTTTGGGTATGTGCTGTTTCCATCCATGACCATACTGCACTTCAAAAGTTGTTGGACTGGGATAAATATTTCACATCTGTCAATTTCTATTATTTTGGTTGCTAAGGAGGAATCAGCTGAGCTTCAGAGATTGAGCTGAAGCTGGGAAGGGAAAGAAATGGAATAGAGAGCCTTGGAAAAAAGGGGAGGTTGCCTTGTTCAAGACTGGATAGAAAATGTAGTTGTTTTCCCAGGTTTACAGAAGCAAGTTTACCGACAGAAGCTTTGCCTTACCAGGGTACTCTGCTCTATTTCTGGAAGAACACCTTTTGGTGGTCTGCAGAGCAGTAGTGTGACTTCTGGAGGAGCTCCTCTCAACAGGTGCAGGACATCCTAAGCAGGAAGAAGCACTATTAGATTTCTTCTGGAACACAGTCTATAGTACATGTCATTTTACCAACTGGGATGGAGGTGTTTTTTATTGTTAATGTCAGATTCCTAGTATTTGTGTGTCTCAGCAGTGTCTGGAGGCCAAAATTCATTACTGTATGATTGGTATATGAGTGGACCATAGTTTTTATCTAAAGTCCAATCAGTTCATTTTGCAAACTTTTGTTCCACCAAGAAATGCCTAAGTTTATATAAATTATTTTTTTTTCTTGAAGAAAACAGAATTTTCAGACATTCATTCAAACTTCATGTGGCAGGGACACATCTTCAGTCAGTTACTGGATCTACTTTACCTGGTAGAGATTCGAATCTGAGGAATAGTATTCAGAATGGCATTACAAATCAAAAAAGCCCACATGGAAAAAAAATGTTTCAGTTATGCAAAACAGCAACAAAGATTCCAACTAATTAACACCTGGTGTGCATCTAACAATAGACTTTGCTATTTAATTTATAACTACATGCTACTGATGCACAGAAGAAATGATCTGTAAGAAGTCTGTTAGGAAGGAAATCCTTCATAAGAATTCTAGAGAAGAATCACATTTAGAAATCAGATTCATTATATGATAATTCTGACTCCCTCTGGTGATATGCAACCTTAAAAGCAGTTTCATCCCCTTGTCTTTATTAACATGGTCCCATCTGGAGTTCCATTGATAGTACTGCCTGGTACCTGATACAAGAGTCCTTGAAGAGGTTTCCCATTCACAGCTAAAATGATGTCTCCGACTTTAATTTCACCGTTCTCTTCAGCTGGCTGTCCTGGAAACAGTCTTTTGATCCTGACAATAGCTCCTCCAAGGTGTTCACAAGCATCTCCTTCCATCTGCAGAACACTAAAGCCAAGGCCTCCAGAATTCTTTGTCAGTTTGACTTCAAATGTATTATCTGTTCAAATCAGGGATTGGAAAAAGAGTGGGAGCTGTGGCATATGTACCCTCTCAGGAGCTGATGAAAATTATACCTTCAGCAGACCTTTTCCCTGCATGCTGCAGGGGTAGATCTATTGATACTAATGGTAAAAAGAAGGGTTTGCTGTTCCTTTTAACGTATGTGAGGCCTTGAAATCATGCAGGCAGAATGGGGAGAACTGGATTCTATTCTCTGTTCACAGACTTTATACCATCTGGTACAGGACCATGAGGGGAGAAGGTTTTTGTACCAGCACAAAAAGGTTCAAACACTATCCTTTTCTGGTGTTCTTGTGTAATTGTTGGGTAGATCTTACCAGTCCACAGCTGCCTGATGTTAATTTGGGTCCTGCACTTACTACCCTAAGCTAGAATCAGAGCTATGGATCTTTCCAGACAAGAACCAGAATTTTCCTAAATACTGTACTTGCAGCTGAACCTTATTCTGCTAGGGACAATGTAGAGGTGTAACTGCCCTACAAGAAAGTATGGTTCAGACTTAGTGTTTATAAGACAGCCTTATAATAAAAGATACAGCATTTATTTGTTGGCTAAATGCGGTGGAAGTGATCTCTGAATCTTCTGCTTTTAGAAAATGAAGTGATGGCAGTCTCCAGTCCTGGCCCTGGGGCAGGAGTTCACTCTAGCTTCACCACTGACACAGCATCAGCAGTTGTGCTGGCGATGCTCTCTGAGTAACAGACTGGCAGCATGGCACAGCTGCCTCCTGCCTGAGAGTGCCACAGAGTATGGGCAGGGACTGACTCTGCCAGCTGGGGAAACAGCCAAGAGCTACTTCAGCCAAGAGATACAGTATTTACGCCTAGGATAAATTCAGCCACATCTAGCAACTGTAACTCTAAGGATGTCAGAAATATTTTGTTCAGAATTGATTTTTTGATAATGGCATTAATATTACACATTACATTTTTAGGCAGTATGCAGTTTTCCTTCTAAACCACAGAAATTTCATAGAATTATTTTCATTGCACATTGTCAGAAGTCACCCTGACTTCCTTTCCTATTGCTCACCATCTGTCAAAAAGCAGGAGTCTTTGGTACCATCTGTGAAGGATGTTGCCACAGAAACAACTGCACATTGGTCCTCCTTTCTGTCATTAGCAGTCAGGGATGGCTCTTCCAATTGGTAGTTTCCCCTTTCTAGAACCAGCCTGGCAATCTAAAACAATGATGAACAGGTTCCAGTTACACAGTACACAGTGAGCTCCAAGTCTTTTTACTTTTCTTTTTAGGAGAATGGGGTTGGATGAGGTGTGGGAGAAGTTTCTTTTGGCCCCACTTTGCTACTGAGTGCAGCTTATTTTAATCAGCTCTGCTGTTGTGCAAACCTGGCCAGATTTCTTAAGGTGTTCCACAGCCTGTTTGTGGGTGATGCCACAGAGACTGATGCCATCTACTTCCAGCAGACGATCACCTGAGGCAAAAGAAAACAAACAAACAAGATCCAGTTGCTTCGCTGTTCAAGTTCAATGGGTGTAACCCTTGAGGCTACCCATGTTACAATAGATCCTCATGCTTACATAGGACAAATTTTGTTACTTTGTATGAAAGCAATACTCCTTGTTGTACAGCACTTAGAACATACTAGGGTATTCCCCAAGTAAATGCAATGATAGTATCTTGTCATCATAGCAACACTGGAAGTAAATTTCAGAGTCACTAGACCAATGTGCAGCTCTGGAGAGTAACTGTATGATACTGGTTTGAGGCTCCTGTTTTTCCAGTGGGATATCTACATGCAGTACAGGGACAGGATGAAGAATGATGGACTACGTATCATGTTTCACAGCTGTATGACCTCCAGTCCCAAATGTTTTTCCATGTGGCAAGCAATCTATGCTGAGTTCTGCAGACCCTGGTTTTATTGCCAGAGGTATTACCTATCTGTATTTGTCCATCCTTATCTGCTGGTCCCCTGGGAATAATGGACTTCACGTATATCCCACCGTGACGCACACTAGTGTTAATTCCACCCTGCAAAACAGATGTCCACAGATTAGAGTGGAGTCTTCACATGCTCTTCCTGTGATGAAAATCAAAGCAACTCACACATGCATTGCAAAGCAACTGTTTCAGGAATTGTGTGTTTGCCGCTTTTAAATATACGGGAAAAAAAGAAAATAGGATGTTATTCCAAACTCCTTTCTAGTTGTAATATAGTTCCATAGGCAGTAATCTTGTTTTATTTTCTCAGGAAAATGCAATGCATTTATACATGGCTATATAAAAGGATGTAGTAAAGGTTCATAGATTTTTCTTGTGCTTACATAAAGATGGGGCTGCGTCTTTTCAGCCCAGCTTCCAAATTATGCAATATCTATTCAGTAGTTATTAACCTTTTGGACAGTATCTAAAGCATGGACCTGAACTTGTGCAGCCACCTGAGAGCCTAGAACTCAGAGAAATTCCAGATTAACTGAAGAATTATGTTCTGTCCATCTGCATGCCCTGGCCAAATTCAGGCCTCAATTTCTTCTGCAGGCAATGAAATGGCTGCTGCTTCCCACTCCATTTCAGCAAGGACTGTAAGGATATCTTAGCCTGGAGTCAGGAAAAGGCATTACCATGCAAATGTGACAGACATTTTCACCACTGCCTCCTCTGGTCCTCTAAACATACAGAGAACTGTATTTCCTTATTTTAGGAAATAAATTATTTATTAGGAAATAAAAATTTACTAGAGCAATTTCTCTGGCCCTTAGGTTAAGAAGCATTGCCTGTCTTGAGTCCACACAGCTAAACTTTCAGCCTGCCAGCACGGAATGGCTTCTGTTATACTGCTTGTTAAGGCACAGGCCAAAGTCATATCAGGAGGCTGTCAAAAATTAAACATTGCCTGTGGGCCATTGCTTGAGCCTGTGCCATGATCCTGTGTAATGTGCTTTTACAGACACAGCCTTTGAGTTCCACGGGCTCCAGGGGAACGGCAACACCAGTCATGACTGGGAGAATTCTTCGCATGGCTGCATTTCCTAGAGACTTAGAACTCCACTTTCAGTGACAGGTCTTGTTCTCTAAGTAAGGATAAAAAGGGCTTGTACTGCCACGTGCTTTATGCCAGCACACTTCCTTCACAGATTCTGCAGGCAAGAACTGGGGAATGAGCTGAGCCAGTACTTTTTCTCTGTCAATCAGTCAGCTGTTTAGGTTTAAAATGTGCCATGGTAACAGATTTTTTTAGAAGCCTATCTTCTATCTTTCTTCCACATAAATACAATTCCCTATGTGTTTCTTGATCATGTAACAGTTTGACAGACACACTGAAAGATTAACAGTAACACTTGCAGTCACACTGATTCCAAAAGTCCCGTTGTCTTTAACAAGCTCCACGGTATAGATTTCCTTTGAGCTGGTTTCAGATGGAGATGGTAAGTGCGACGAATCAGCTTCCTGTCCCAAAAATATAAACACTCATGAGACTACAGCATCTCACCAAAAAAAGGGGGGGGGGGAAGGAAGAAAAAAAAGGAGACTTTCCAGAAGGAACTCTAGATTTTGGTCTTGCTGTCACTGTAAGCCTGGAGTGATACCACTTATAACTCTGACATTATTTCAAATTTTACACTAATGTCATTGAACTTATAACCTGTCTAAATGAGCATAAGCTGAGTATAGATAGGGAGGCTGTCTAATAGTAGGAAATCGGACACAAAATATTGTTCTTCTGGGTATGGTTGAAAATTTAAGAGATTAAAAAAAAATCAAAATTTTGTACCTCTGCTGGAAAAGGGAGGAAAATGTTTAATAACATTTTGTGGGATAGTTTCCCCATTCTTTTTTTTTTTTTTGTCCCTTATTCTAGGCAACTCTGTTATTTTGACATTTCCAATGTAATTTAACAAGCAACATCTTCCAAGGTTTTCTTTCTTTTTTCCTAATTTTTTTTTAAATTTTTCAGTTTCTTTCTGTTCTTAATATAGCTGGTATGTTGTTAAGACACGTGCTGGGTGTAATATTACTGAACAGCATCAAAATCTTTTACCTCCACATCCTGTCTATCAGCTGAAGGAACAGTAATCCTAGGGCCCCATTTTGGTGCTAAACGCCAGGAAAGAGTCTTCTCAAGTTCATCTATATTTATGTCTTGTTCTTTGGGGAGTGCTGTATGACAATCCTGAATCTTTGTTCTCCCACTGTCTACACAAGAGATTTCAGATCCACTAGTGCTGTTTCCTCTTGATAGATTCTTTTCTTCGTTTACTCCTTCTTCATACATGTCTGTAAAGCCGTACCAAAATAAAATACTGCTGAATGCAAACTGTAAGTAAAATTTAAGGCAAATACTATCATACCTCAGCAGAGGAGAACAAAGTGACTTGCTACACCAACTGGTTGTGAAATCAGATGTATAAAATGAGTCAGTCATTCTAAAATGGAGCAGCGATATTATACACGTGGAGAAATGTCTTTGCCTCGCTACTGCAGAAGGCTGTGACTCTCTGCTAGAGAAAGAAATGCCAGCATTCCCTTGGTATTCAGCAATGCAGCCCATACTAGGGGTTTTTTTTTCATACCAGCTGTAGAAGAAAGATTACATGATACTTACTAGATGTTGACTATTTTCACCGCTAGCCTATGGTGGTTATAACTGGCACTGAATAGAAAAAAAGGACTACAACATACCAGTGCCTAATAAATACCAGCATCCCAAGTTAACTCTTAGCATTCCATAGCCAGCAGAAGTGTTTGCTTTTATACCTTTAGGTTGAGAGATTATGAGCTCCACTTCATCAGGAGAATGCTGTATTATTTTAACTGCAGTGTTAAATGAAACACCCTCAAGACTAATATTATTCACAGAGATGAGTCGTCCTCCTTAAAGAGAAAAAAAGAAAAAAAAAATATAAAAACAAGACAAAGCACAGCTAAATAAGGAAATAAATCCAGAGTAGCTAACTTTAAATGATGGAAGTATTTTAATTATAATTAAAAACTATGCACAATGACCTGGTTTGATATTTCCAGCTCTGTCTGCAGGTCCCCCAGGGATAATTGAAGCAATAAAGATACCAAGGTCTAATTTTCCTACATTTTCTCCTCCAATAATTACAAAACCTGCAAAAAAGAGATAGCATGAGAATTCAGAGACACTGCCAGCATTAGAGAAGATGAACCTTAGGAACACAAAAGGCTGTTATTCCAATGGCATAAGCTTTATATGTGGTCTGGAGAATGGGGAGCTCTGATTTATATGGCATGAAGCTCTTGATTTGGGAGAGCTTTAAACTCATGTTATTATTAAAGTGTGCTGATTATTTTGGTGGCTATTTAAGTATAATTTCTCAATAAGAATACTTTCCTGGATGGGGATTTTTAAAAATTCCAACTACTTTCTTACAGGAATCATAAACTATGTGGACACTTAGTATTTAACACCTGAGAAAATTGTATAAAAGCTCATTATACAAATTTCAGTCTTGTTCTTCATCATGTAGCCTAGGGCCCGTGAGGTGGGCCATGTAAATTTCTAATGGATGTGTAAGAGGCATCTAAGAAAATTAAACCTGTTGTCAAGTAGTTCAAGGTCACTATCCTTGCTCATCATATTTTGCCTATGGCAGAATATATTCTTCTCACTGGTAGAATAGTTGGGTTGACGATCAGCATATTTCACACAGACCTGTACCATTTAGAAGTTTGATGTTTAATTGTAATAATGATCAGTTGTGAAACCTGATGGTCCTCTGAAGTCATCCACAAGAACAGGACACAGTGCAATAGTGTATTACACAACAAAAATGTTATCCAAAGAAGAATTTGAAAGTTGGGAAATATTCATGTTAATCTTGTGTACACATTTTGCAGCCCCACAGGCAATGCCTGAAAGGTCTGCAGAACATCATCTCCTCATGAGTAAGGTCTGAGATAAATAAAATCACTGCACATGTATTTAAGATACAAAACTAGCCCCTTGTTCCTTTCATTCAACTCTTAGCACTTGGTCCCCTTGACCTCTGTGGCCTTAGTTCATCCTCTGAAAAAATTGTGGCCTTGATTTATGTGGTTAGTCCTTTTTAGTCTTGGAAATTCTAAGTTCTTCACAAAGTTTGGTAGTCTTATTCTATAAGAAGAATAAATGAGGTGAAGAAGCTTAGAGTCTTGACCAGCTTGATTAAGCAAATGTCAGTGTTAGCACTAGGATCTGATAGTCTCAATAAAACCCATGACATTCATGTTCCTTACTTACCAAATCCATTCTTAGGGTCACGTTTTAGGCTGACACAAATGATTTCTCTTTCTAGACCACTTAGCAAAGCTTCCTTTTGGATGGCTGGTGATCCAGGTGCTGCAGAAACAAAACAGCTAGAATAAATGCAGGAAGACAGTAGATCCATACAGTATGCAAAACTTGGGCTTCAATAATTTAAAATATATTTTATCCTTGTTTTCATCATTACCATCACTTCTGAATCAATATATTTCAGGAATGAAGGTCAAACAAGTGTTTTGAAATTTGCCTTCTTTAGAAAAGTACAGTAGCTGTGGAAGCTCTTCCTATAGCATTCCTTTCTGTGAGACTATGCATTTTATCTGCAGTGGTTTTATTAAGATTAGGATAGCTAAAGAGTCAGGCATGTAGTGTCCATTGAACATGAGGGTGATTTGGACAGAAAATCTTCTCTGTGTTGCTTTGGAAACTTCAGCCTTTGGCCTTGTGGGCTCTTTTGGCTCTGTCAGTAAAATCCAGTCAGTACTGATTGTGATGGTGACTTTTGCAGTGTAAACACTACTTAATATTGTGCAATTTCCACAGTGTATTTAAAGTACAGTTCTAATTTTAAAATGGATTAACCAAATAATCATAGCTTCATATTCTATAGATCTGCTCACTGTGTGCATGAAATATGGCTTCTCTCAGAACATCAGGTATCCAGTTCTTATTCCAGTCAGTGTTACACAGATACAAGAACAGAGGAAGGACTTGGAGCCAATGTTGTCTCCAGCATTATTTATTGAGTTGTAGATCTCAATTGCAAACCAAATAATGACTTCTGAGCATAGGGATATTGCCAAATAGAAGAATCCTGGGTGTATTAAATTATGTCTCTGAAGACCATCAGGCACAATGCTTCATAGATTAATTTTATCACGAAGTCCCTTACCACTGATACTGATGGAAAGCAGGAGTGAAAGGGAAGAAAACAGCTTGTCTTGCTAGACTCTGGGTTAACTCCCAGATCCCAAAGCACAAAAAGATATTCTTTAATCTGTAAGTAGAATGTATTTTTGTCTCCTGATATTGAAACAATAAATGTGGAAGGGTACTGTCTCTCTTTGTAATTATTATACTCACCACTGATTGTATTCTGAGTTGAATGGATAGAGAGGTAGTCGTAACTCCTTTGCTTTCCATTCAAATTGATGTGTGTTTCTGACTGGGATAGCCCTGATGTGGATCTGCATGGCAGGAAATGAAGGCAGTGTTACAATAACAAATCACAACGGTATTTAGCTCTCTGTCATTAGTCTGTCCCAGCCAAGTCAGGCATGCACAGGTTTATAGCCTTTCAATGAGTATTTTGATTTCTGGGCCACATTTCATTGTGTGGAAAGGTGTTTTATCCCTTCCAGCATTTGCTTCCAAGCAACAGCTGCCATTAGACCACTCACATGACAACTCATTTCCCCCTGTGTTTTTCTCTGAGCTGAGTGCAGGCATCAGGAAAACACACCACAGCCTCACCATGATTCATGTAGTCCTGCTCTCTATTTAGACAAAACCACACCTGAAAGTTTTCCTGGTAGCTCACATTCTTCTTGGCTTTGTTCTAACTCTTAGTATTCCAAAAGGCACTAGAATTCATCAAACACCTTGAGACTATGTGCAGTTATAGTAACCACCTACACTGGTAAATGCACCAATGCAAATGAAAAGGAAAAAGTTCTTACACTCTTCTCTACAATTTGCACAGTTAGACATGGAGAAATCAGTTATGTAAGGCCTGCTTAAAAACAGCTTTCACTGTGCATTCAGTTTGCATACTGTCATTTACAGGGAAGATATGCAGACATTAAACATTTTACTTTTATTCTCCCTTATTTTTATCCTTCTCCATAACTCAGTAAGTGATCCATTCCTGAGCCTGGTACGAATTCAAATGTCATTCTTTTTCAAGTTCTTATCTGTTAGACAGCTTCCTGCCTATGTTTGCACTCGTGCTGGCATCATGGAGCCCCAGGCCCTTTGGTGCGACCACAGTAGAGACTGAAAAAAAAATCAAAATTCTGCCTCACAGGTTTGCAATGACACAGTCTATGACCGAATATTCTTACACTCATTTAGAGGAAAAAGCAAACCTACCTGCCAAGGTTGCCTTTGTTTCTAGCCCTTTTGTTGGTTTCCACACTGAGGTTATCACAAGATTTGCTCATCATCCCAGAAGATAGGTTTTCCAGGTGTGCTCCATAGAGCACATTCTCTGAACGAGACAGTCTCTGAATCAGGGCAAGGTGCTGAGCTGCATATGCAGAATCTGATTTGTCTATTTCCACAAATTTACTTTCCTCTGAATAAGAAGAGAGAGAGGGGGAGGAAGGAAAATTTAATCCACTGACATTAGCCTATCTTTTTAAGCTCAAAGGTGCATTCTGTCTAACCTTTTGAATAGGGTAGCAAAAAAAGATGGACATTACAGATATATTTGTTCTGGTATCCTTGAGGATATCTAGGCCTTGAAGTGAGTGGAAAGAGTTTCCAACCTATTTCTTTCACAGAAAGTACATGCTCTATTTAGATTTCAGTTCTATGAATTATACTGCAAAATCAGTCTCCACAAAGACAGATGAAATGTGCAATCCTGTATAATTTACACCTGAATATCTCTGTAAAGTATATTTTGTAAACTTTTGGCGTATGAGAAATACCTGGCTGTTAGAGATTGAATTAGCCATGTTGGTAGTTTTCCATCCCCCATGTATTGTCCCACCACTTCAATATATGTCTGTCTGAGAAGACAGGAGCTCTACTAACACATGCTCTCTCAAATTCACAGAGGGACCAAAGAGCTGGCTCTTTGCTCTGTGTGATTTGGACAAGTGAAGTTGAACAGGGGATCATCTTGGTGGCAATGCTTTCTATCTAATTTTCCACCTCTGTGTGAAATCTACTACTTGCTTAATGACATCTGTGCTCTGCCATATACAAATCTATCCTCTCAAAAGGCTTTAGTTCCTTGAAACAAGACAGTGCTTTAGGAGGATTGCTTATTTATTCAGGTTCCAAACTGGTGGGATGGAAAGGAGATCTAACAGAGAGAAAGACAGCAGGCAGTTGGAGACATGTTGGAAAGTAAAACAAGAACACTGCTTGGTACAGGCTAGCATAAACAGTGACTGTAACTCTGCTGACCTCCTGTGTGTTTTCCTAACAAATGTTAGTCTGAATGCAACTTTGTAGAACTTTTTCTGCTCTGCAGCATTAAACCTAGTCTCCCTCTTTCATCAGTGACTTTGGTCAGGGGCATTTGTTAAGGCATCAGAAGGTTTAACTGTCCATGGTGTTAGTGCCATTTGAGAGTTGCCATGGTGATCTCAAAGTATGGGGTTGCTAGCAAGTTTTGAAGAGATGGTGACATACATCTGAACAGTGCAGCAGGAACAAGAGTTTCCCTCATGCAGAAGGAGCCTTACAATCTCTTACAGCCTGACTGTGGTGGGAAAGGCAGCACTTTGAACTACTGTCTGTCATTGACGTCACAAAGCCTTTTTTTCTCTTCTGGAGCAGCAAGCACACACCGAACCTCAGAACCTGCAGTCACATGGCTTATATAAATCTGATTTATTTCAGTGATTTGGCGTGCTTACAATCACAACTTGGGTTATAGTTTTCTTAGCTCTCAATCTTTTTGTTCTCTTATATACGAAATGTAGTGATTTTTATTAAGATCTATTTCTAGAAGCAAATGTGATGTGGAACTTTAAGATTCACTATTAGCACTCATTTGTGTGCTACAAGTCACAGTCCCATTAAGTAATGTTTGAAGCTACAGAGGCCCAAGCAACAAAAGGTTCTTTGAACCTAAATGTCATCCTAGCACCATTTTCCATTGTAACAAATTTGTGCAGATGAAATTTCATTTTTCGTGAAATAATTATAGTGGGAAAGAAACAATATATCAATCATCCTGTTGTATATCATGGTATAGTCTGCTGCCAAAAACTTTTACAACTTTACTAGAGAAGGGAATATCCCAGCAGATAAGTCATGACACTTGATTTCCCTGCTGTGATTCACTGGGTAAAATACTCAGTGGTTTTAAATGATCATGTTTCTGTTCAAGGCAATGGATGAGCTAGTGAAAACTCATGTTACTCTACTAAAGTCAAGAGTGATAACAGATGTTGTCTTAAGCTATTATTTCTTATGTTCCTCACTTTCCCCATAATGAGCCTTACCCATATTTACAGAGCATGCTGATAACTGTGGTTGAGAAGTGCTGTGTAACTGCCTTGGATTGAGCAGAACCTTGTCTTGGAAGCTATGGAAAATCTGAAATCTAAGGAGGTGTTAGTCATATCTTCCACAGACACAGCAAAACCTAAGATAAGAGCAGCTAGCAGCTATATAGTTGTGTGGGTATGACTGATGTGCCTTTACTTTAGTGGTTTTACCCTGGGACTGAACCATAGGGTTGAAGCCCTGTCTTAAGAAAAATAACCAGCTAACTACATTGAGCCCCAGCATCTCTGGGCACCATTACACTTATTCTTTGTGTGGAACATTTCTCAGGTTAAATTTCGGTAAGTCTGACAGTTTCTTCAGAATTCTCAGCAGGTTTCCTGAAGGGAGCTGTAATCATGATTTTTTTTTTTTTTTTTTTTTTTAAATCTGAGTTTAGCTACATAGTTGTTATCATCAGAGAATCCCTTTCCACGCCCTGCATGTGCTCACTCACAGGCACACGCTAAATTCAACTTACACACCTCTAACTTTCAGGGAAATATGAGAACTATTTTACAGTTTGTAAATGAGAAATTGAAGCATGGTGAAACTGATGTGGCAGGTTCTCAGCTTCACTGAACACACCTTTCCTAAAACCTAACCTTGTCCTATGGCCCGAGTAATGGAAGTGCATTTATACCTCACCTGGTGAAGTCTGCCGAAGTTGCCTAGAATTCATCTGTGCATTGAATTTGTGCTGAGCAGAGCAGAGATCCAGTAGATATTTACATGTCTTTGCTGTATCAGTAATGAAGGTGTGTTTCTTGCCACTGAAGCTGCTTTCAATCATGAATTTTTTTCTCTAAAGGGGGAAAAAAAACAACCAAACAAAAAACACAGCTTGTTTCACGTATCAGTCATTACACTGAGGCACTGAAAGTGCATTTGTATAATCTTGTTAGTTTGTCCAGTTGTATTTATCCCTGGCTGCCCACCTTTTGGCTGCAGTAAATGCCCATCATAAATTCAACTGTTGTTAGTGAGATGTCTGTCAGTGGGATGATAGCTCTCCTATGTCAAAAGTCAAGAGTTTTGGAGATTGATTGCATTGAAAGCAGGTTGATAAACTGGCAAAAGCTGGCCCTACAGGCATTAAAATGATTAAACCAATTTAATGTGAATATGGAAATACCTTCAAGGGGCAGAAGGGTGATTTTGGGAGAGAAAACAAGCTGGGAAATGTGTGATGCAGGTTGATGCCTACATCCTGTATAATGGTAGATTGAGATACCTCCAATAGTAGAATACTATTTAGAAGGGTAATCTTGTCACCAGTACTGGTTTGTGAACAGACATCTATATACTAAGAGATGAGGATGGGAATAATGAGATCTGGAAAGAGGGAGACATGGTCCCATGACCTGATGGTAGGAAAACAAAAGAAAAGAGAAAGGGAAGTAAAGACGAGAGGAATTAATATGGAATATGCTATAAAGAATTTTGACATAGTCTCTGTAATAGTCAACAAGAGATTTTTCAGTTTTATAATAATTTGATTCCAGCATTGGCAAAAAAACTCCAGAACTAAACATCACTAAAAACTAGATATCTTGCTATCCAGCTCCAGCCTTGATTTTAGACTGTTTTCCAAAAGGACTTGCCTGTACAGAATGAGTCTAATTCTGGCTCTAAACGCAACAAATTTATCAAAGTGACAGGCAGAAGAGGAGTAAAGTAGTAGAGTGGGGAAGAAATTCACTTGGTTCCAACTCACATGAGCTGAAATTCTTTCTGTTTCACGCCACTGGAATCTTAAACTGGCAATTCTTGTGTGATTTTTAACCTCGTACACAATGATGCCTTTGGCACAGATTCCCAGGATGATGTCCCCTCCTGCTCCTTTCTTCTCTTGGGACACACGATAGAATAACACTCCATATTCAGGAAGCTGCTGAGTCACCTTGTAGAGAAAAAGTGCATTTACCATACGTTATTCAAAAAGACGCATAGGAAGAAAAAAAGGTGGGAGAGGAAATGGTTTTGAGTGTCTTCACTGGATATTCTTTAACTGTACTAGGAAACCTTTGAAAAACCTTACCAAATTTTAATATCTATTGCATCACAGAATAATCACCTTGTTTTGCTATGCCATAGAGACATTAAATGCATCCATTTTCCATGTGTAAAATTGGAATAACACCTTCCTACATACCTCATCTGAAGAGGCAGGAGGACCATGTAGCTTCCTGCATAATGACCTAAACATTACAGTGGCACTGAGGTGCCCAGCATTACTGCTACAGGGCACTTGTGTGCATTTTGAATAGAAATCCACACAGGATTAATGCTGCTTGACTAGTGTTAAACCTTGTTTCCTTCCATTTTCTTTTTTGGGTCATTGTTTCCCCAAGCAAACCCAGAAACCAAGAACTACAGCAAATACTATGATCTTGGTAAAACTGCTCATACTTTGGTGCCAGGTCTACTCTGACATTGTTATGGGCTTGTGTGTTTTCCTTTCTACTACAGTGATGATCAAATAGAAATCTTAACTACAGCAATACTGCAGCTCCCAACCTGAAATGAACTCAGGTAAATACACCCATTCTTTCAGGGCTATTGTCTTTTAAAATGAGACATTATAAGATTCCATTGCCAAGAATCTGTTTTTTGTTTTTTTTTCCTGGGCAGCTAATGTAGAATCCCCAACTGACTTTTCAGCCCTGAATAGAGATTTTCAGTAACCAAAATTAAACGCTGTAAGAAGATCTGTTTTTCAGAAAGTATCCAGAACACAAATGTTCAGGTCCTGAAAACTGGGGCATCTATAATCACTAGCTGAATCTGGGTTTTAATTTTTAATCCTGTTCGTATTTGGAATTTGCATGCTTTTGCCATGGGGGCTCTCTTTCTCACTTTGTATGATGTGTTGGCTCCTTATACAGACTTAGGCGTTGGAACAGATATTAACAAAGCTGCTATTCTTCATTGGATTTGCTACGCATGATGGGACTGTCATTAAGGATAAGCTACAATCTATTTCTTAAATTCCAGTGACAATGTTAGATGAGGAACAAACATAACTTAACAGCAACTAAACTAAAATGATGCTATAAATAAAAGCATGTGGCACTGCAGCAAAATTGTTATTGATATTTATCCATTATCTAATCTCTAATAATTTTCATTCAGTGGAAAGAAGTTTGGGAGAGAAGGAGAATTCAGGGGAAAAAAAATTAAATCCCACATCATTGTGACACTCTAGAGCCCTAGAGAAGCAGTACTGTGAAAAAATATCTCAGGTAACTCCTTCTTTATAGGGTTCTAAGATATTTTTAAACTCTGCATGTTTAGAAAGGGGCCGAACAGCTGCTGTAGTTTCAGAAGTCAAAAAAGTGCTTGTTCCCATGTTTTATAATAATCTCTAATACATTCAACAGGTGTGCTTACAGTCATCTGGAAACAGATGTGTTGGTAGCATGCAGAAAATTTGCATCAATTTAGGGTGTTGAAAATACCCTGAAATGTGAATTAACCCTTTATAAACTATCAATGAAAGGAAACCAACCATGCAAATGCAGGGTAAGTTATTCAAAGTCACAGTATCTAGAGCAAAGTGAAATTTTTGTTGACTGTTGAAATTTCTTCACCGTATCTAAAATCCATTGTATCAGCCAAGAAGGAAATAACAGACAACGGTAAATAGAGACAGGCTTTCTGTCTGTGAATAAATAAACAATGTTTGGGGTATAGCAAGTTACCTTTAAGAATTCTAGTTCAGCTTCATCCTCAAATAGGGAACGATTCAAGCGATGTAATTTAGCAAGCTCTCGCTGTACATATGCCAGGGTCATTTTCTCTATCCGGCTTGCTGGAATGTAGTCTTCAACACGAAAATAGCTCTTTCCATGCATCTTTGGGAGAAAAAAATGAGGAGAAGAGGGGAAAAAAAAAAAAAAAAAGAGAGAGAGAGAGAGAGAAGCCTTTTGTTCTTTCTTAACTTATTCGGTGCATTTCCATTTTCAGGGTGACCTGTATGCTGAAGTCACCCTGTTAAAAAGAAGATGGGGAACAACAGGTAGTGTCCTGATGGCCGAATGTGTGTCTTGCACCTGTGCTCAGCCAGGTGCTCAAGCACACACCACCTTCTCTCTGCAGAGGGAATAAAAGAGCTAGGCCTACAGGCATGCCTGGCAGTCTTGCACTTAGTCATGCAACTACAGCTACATCAGTAAAACCCAGAATGGGGACCCACTGCAGAGGTGGATCAGACTACTCACTGTTCAATTAACAGAGATACATAGATTTATATAACTGAAGAACTGGCAGAGAACATAAATGGGTTTATTTTGGTACACTTCAAAACCAGGCTAAGTAGTTCAGATATACCATCAACCTTCCTGTCCTTGCAGTTTGTGGATACAAGCCTACACACAAAATAACTGTGAATTCTGGAGTGTTTATTTATCTTCTTCCATGTTTTCTAATCTCTCTGCCACTCTGCAGGTCCAAACTGTACCTATGTTGGAAATTTTTTACAGACTTTCTGGAGTTCCTGGGCTATGTTATCAATTATGGAAGACCAAGAGTCTTTCATCATTCTGCTATATTTCCCACCAAATTCATCAGGTCATTATTGTTCCTTAATCAGGCAAATCTTGTAATTTTTAATATTAAATCTGAAATGTGATTAACTGAAGGATTTAGATGAAATTATATGCTGTTCACATTTCTTCTTTTAAGCTCTGTGTGACAAACAGAAGCTGCAAAAGCTGTTGAGAAAGACCTCTGAGAAATATTGTATTATTTATCCACACCTCAGAAGCATAATTGCCAAGCTCTGCCTGTAAAGCCAAAGCGCCGAGTTTCAGGGCAGTCTCATCATTGCAATATAATCGCTCCTCCAAAATATCTTTACGAAGCTGCAGGTAAAACTGATGCCGTGTCAAGCCATGCCTGGAACACAAAAGGGTTTAGGAATACAGGAGGGACCTTGAGCAGTCACCTTAAATGCTACTGGGTTTTTTTGCAGTCAACAGAACCATGTACTTACTGGATAACATTAAAGTGGTTGACAAAGAATTTTATTCTTAGAAAAAGCGTGAAATTAATGATGGATGTTTTCTTCTTGGGTTGGTCATTCCAGCCATCTGGGGCCACTTTGTAGAGTTTCGTATCCTCATCCAAAAAGAAGAATTCTTTGCCTGAAATGAGAATTTTAGATTCTGTGGTAATTCTGGACATACTTCAGTAGTTCAAAATTCTGCTGTCTTCACTCAGTGCATCACGAGCAATAAAAAATAAAAACTACCATGGCTGTCAGTTGAGATTTATTACCTGTCTCATGGCTTAACGTAGAGCTTCTTTGATGGAGAACTTAGGCAAACTCTTAGTGTGTAATTTAGGATTACAACTGTTGGATCCTAGATTGGTGTGTTAACTATAGAATCACTGAAGAATTGATGGGGTTACCGTTCTGCTCACCATTCAGGTTCTGCACCTCATTGTAATCCTCATGCCCTACACAAGGTATGCTTCTTCCTGATGCCTCAGCTATGCTTGCCATCAGACATGAGATATGAAGATGTGTCTTGTAGACAAAATAGCTGAGCCTGTACTTCAACTTCTATCTAGGAACAAAGACAGTCAGCCTTCCTCAGCCCAGTGCCTCCTGGAATTTCTGCTGGAGCTACATGGCTCTGTATTATTCCAGTGCAACGTTGAGGCACAACCTTTTCTGCATGGGAATATCAGCCAGTAGCAGTATGGCTGTGCTGATGTGCAGTCCTGGGATAAACAAGCTTACATCTCTGCAGCAGAATTTAACCAATGTACCTTAGTTTTGCTTAAGCTTTGGATATGCTTTCATCTGAGGATCTAAAAGGATCTTACTGAAATTCATTGATAAAGGGACTACAGAGGCACTGAGGGAAAGAACTGTTAGTGTAATTAGCTGTGTCTCATTACCTTTCAGGTAAGCCAAGCCAAAGTAGAAATGTTCCACCAAGTTTGCATATGCCACCACAGTGTTGAAAACGTCTCTTGCCTTGGACTTAATGTCACATTGCACCTCAAGGCACTGCCCGTTGAGTAGAATCACGTTGAGATCCCTTTGAGACAAATAGGATTTCCCTTTTTTAGTCTGAGAACATGTAACAAAGAATAAAGGATGAGTGCCAAGTACAAGCAATGCAAGTTCCACAGTACTGTATTACTGAGGCTCCCTAGTCTCCTGTCTCTACATAACCTGATGGAATTGATCACAATGTGATGCTATTCCCTGCTTCCCTTCTCGTAAATTAGTATCACAAACATTTTCTAGTTTAAAAAAAAAATAAAAACAAACCCACAGGGAATACCAACAGAAGAGCTGAGCATACTCAGACTCTAAAATCACCAGGGTTATTTCAGATTTGAGGGTAATTCTAAATATTCTTTGTCCTCATTTTCACTACTGTGTGCTATCAGTCTTTTATCTTGTCTTAATGAAAGGATAAAAAAAAAAAAAGTAGATGTGCTTTCAAACTGGAGGAGTCCAATACTTGAGCACTATATGTCCATTACGTATTTGCTTTTTGTCTCAAAAGTTTTGTACTAAAGTGTGTATTCTTATCTGAGAATGATAAATTAAGCTACTTTCACACCAACAGAAATTACTACATAACACTGAGAATTAAATGACCTTTCAAGTCTCAACACCTCTGCAGGAAGCCTAACTTGGTTTAGAGTAGGACATGGCAAGAACACTGGGCTGGGACTTAGATGCAACTTACAAAGAGGCCAAATTAAAAGTTCACTAGACTAGTTATAAATTCTTAATGTTCATACTTACCACAATCGATCCAGGCAGCTGTAAGGTCACTGGTGGTTCACTAGACAAAATAATAAATTCTGGACCTGAAAACTGTAAGGAGGCAGTTTAGAAATATAATAAATGTCTCCGTAATGTGATGAAGATCCCAAACACCAGTACCAATTAAACCTATTTCTGTTGACCTGTATGCTGTAGTTAATTGACTTCAGTGTCTAATAAGTTGCAAATGCTGCCTGAAGACCTGGGGGTCTCTCCTGTGTAGACTCTCAGTGGTCTAATTAGGGGTAAGCTCATGCTGAAGCCTTTTCTTCTGTAAAGGCACTTACCAAGAGTCTTTTACTTTGGAAGACATCTGTTTTTATGACACTTACAGAAACTTAATTTCTTCTGAGACCATTTCCCACATTATTCCCAAGTTACTATGACAGTCACAGACATGTACACACATATACACACACCACTGTGATTTCATAAGCCTAGATTCCATAGGGAACCAGACTAAATTCAGAGCTTCTCTCTTCCCTGTGATGAAGGTTGACTGAAATTTCTTATTAGCAAGCATTGTGTTCTTTTGCTTTGACTTCAACAAACTTTAACAGCACAAGATGCTTTTTTTTTCTTGCTGAGAATCCACCTCAAGGAATTATCTGTATTGTTTTTGTGGGGGTTTGTTTGTTTGTTTGTTTGTTTTTGTGGGTTTTTTTTGTTTGTTTTTTTGTTTGTTTGTTTAATTGGGGGTTTTTTTGTTTCATTTTTTTTGTTTGTTTTTTTCATTTGTCTATGGCTTTAGATACTTGAAGCAGACAAATAACTAAATGTCTGCAAGTGGTAACATGGAACTTTGCAACTACTCCCTATTTCTTAGTACCTTGACCTACTCAGTGTTGGGGATTTTTAGCAAACCCCACCAAGAGATAATGCAGTTTTGTATCTTATATAAACAGGGACTAGCCCTTAGTTGTAACAGTTGCTGAACTCCTTCTGAGGAACTCAACCCAGCAAAAATCATGTTCACAAAATTGAAAACTAAATTTATACATAAAAAGATAATTTTCCAAAGTATCTATCTCAACCTTTTGATGAAAGTTCTGCCACTGATTGGTCTTGAGCTTGTGAACTGGGAACAGGTGAAAGGACCCAGCCTTGAAATCTGTTCCACAACAGAAAGCTCCATGGGCAGCAGCATTGTGGAGTTTTCTGTGATTCAGTTATTTCTGGATTTTTCTGGTCCAACTGCTAAAGGAACATTCTTAGTTAATGTATTTCTACAACAAATAAGTGACTAGAAATAGATCCTTAGGTGAACTATTTGTTTGCCTCACTCAGTGCTAGCCTATCCTTTCTGTCTAGGCATACAGTGTGAAAAACAAACAAACAAACAAACAAAGAAATAGAAGTCCTTTGATTACTGTTGACCATCAAACCTTTGGGTTCGGTGTCACTGTAAATATATTTGCTGTTCTGAAGCTCCTGTTAAAGTGGTTGATGAGAACAGTCCATGCAGTGTTTGATGCTGGCAGAAATCACACATGTAAGTCAGAGTGTTCTGTGACAAGCTTTTGCTTAGTCTTCATGGACAAGACTTTTCATGGCCTTCAGCTCTGAGTTACCAATGCCTAATTTGAGGTCTGCCAGTTTAGAAAACTCATCTAGTGAGATGACTCAGTAGCTAATATGCACACCACTGGCAAGCGACAACTGGATGAGAGATTTCTCTGTAGTGATATTTACATTTTGAAATCAGCTTATATGTTTTGCATTAGTCACCTTTTCCTTCCTGTGGAACAAACTTTTCTGTGATGCATCAGCTGCTGTGTAGTCCTTTGTAGACACTGAGAAGGTGGAACCTAAACTTAGCAGGTTCTGTCTGTTGTTCTTCTGAGTTCCACCAGGGATTTCTTCTACAGCGCTGACTGACCTTCAAAGAAATGTGATAGTGAGCAATATATACAGCATGAATCACAACAACACAGGCTCGAGGACAAAGGGCTTAAGGTACATTGTCTGGCAGAATATTACAAAATCCAGGGCAATTTCAAAATCCAGGGCAAATTAACAGGGATAATGTTACTGATACTATTTATGGAAAAATCTAAACTCTGCTTAATTCAGTAACAGTTTTGGTTTCTTTTGTGTGTGACAAAATCCAGGGCAAATTAACAGGGATAATGTTACTGATACTATTTATGGAAAAATCTAAACTCTGCTTAATTCAGTAACAGTTTTGGTTTCTTTTGTGTGTGTGTTTTGTTTGTTTGTTTTGTTTTTGTTTTGTTGTTGTTTTTGTGTTTTGTTTTGGTTTGGTTTTGCCTTTTTATTGTTTGTTGTTTGTTTGTTTTTTAGTTTTGGGGTGCTTTTTTATTTGTTGAGCCAGTTTTCATTTGTTGTAGCTGGTTTAAGTCTGGTGAAGCCAACAGGCAAATATTCTGGCCCTTCTGAGAATTCTACAGGATGAAGTCAGTTCCTTTTTTTTTTTTTTTTGTCTGAAGCAAAAAAGCTTCAGAAAACCATAACATTTATTATTACATTCAGTATTTTCCAGGAATGGGAACCAAATTATTTGAATACTAATTCATTAAAATAAATTAATGTCTTAGTAAAGTGAGGGATTTTCAATTTCATTAAGAGAAAGTCATGTGAAATCTCAGCTCAGAAAAGTGTCTTTATACTATACTCTTAACCCATAAAGTAACGGTGTTTTCCACACAAGCAGACACATGCTTGCTTAGAATTAAAATAAAATATATACTCTTATCAATGAGAAAATGACAATTAGGTGGTGTAGAAGGAAAGGTTTTGTTGAGGTGCATTTTTCTTAATTAAATTTTTAACAAATAACAAAATCACACAGGGTTTTTTTGTTATCCCAGAGTTTTATCCTTTTCTTTTGCGTGTTGCAGAGTTGCTTCAGGGAGCTATTCAGGTAGTTTCAAAAGGTTTTTAACAACGTTACTAGAGTAGTTGCTGAACTTTCCTCCTTGGTATCCAGTGGCAGACATGTGGGAACAGTTCAAAGCTGAGTCAGGGAGGTTTGGACTGGACATTAGGAAGTATTTCTTTACTGAGAGGGTGGCCAAACACTGGAACAAGCCTTCTAGAGAGGTGGTTGTCCTAGAGTCTGCCAGTATTGAAAAGGCATTTGTACAATGCCCTTAATGACATGCTTTAACTTTGGGTCAGCCCTGAAGTAGTCAGGCAGTTGGGCTAGACAATCGTCGCAGGTTAATTCCAATAGAACTATTCTATTCGATTTTAGTCTAGTCTAGTCTCCTCTGTCTATAAAAGTATCTAGATATTTTTGTTTCTATCAATGCAACCTCATCAAGATAAAAATTTAACTAAGAAACATGCCTAAAATGACCTGAAGTGACTTTTGTAGGGTTATATATACTATGAGTTCAAAAGCCAAGATGCTGTACTAAGAAGGCTTTCTTTGCCTGTGGAAAATACTTCCCATTATTAGTCCAGTGAAGTGAGAGATCCCAGACTTGACATCTGTGTCTTCTTTATATATAGGCAATAGCCTTGCATATACTTACAAGCTTAACTTGTAAAATATGTAAATGACATCAGTTGGATTGCATACAGAAATGAGCATAATACTACTAGTAAGCTTTTTAAGTAGTAAACCTATAACTAAGTTTTGTGTTGGTTGTGCTCCTACATGCAAACTAATTATTTCAACCCCACTGTTGTCATGGTACTTACAATAGGATTGTGACCTTGGTAGAAATTAAATTGCAGATGCTTACAACTAAATGTGGGGTTTGCCGTCCCAGAAGTTCTATGGGAAACAGCTTGCTGGAATTTTGGAGAGGAGAGTTCATCTTTCAGCAAAGGAGAGTAATATTTTCTTGGCAGCATGATTTTAGATTAAGAATATCAAGATGATACTCAGGTTGGCAGTCAGGTGCATGACAATTGCTTCAAAATAGTAAATAAAACTTCTGTTACTGATATCACTGCCAGGTATGTGATGCATATATAGATGTCTGGATAGACACACATATGTGTGTATGTTATTAGACAGGTAGACAGAGACTTCTTTCTTCACAAAAGCTACCACTACACTATAATCTGCTTGTAGTTCTTGCTTATTGCAGGTTTAGAGGTGTACTGGGGTATTGCACCTTGCTCAGATTATCGTGGCTGATTTATCAGGAAGTTCAAACTATTTACTTGGGATACATTTAATTGGGAGTTGACTTAAATGGAGCATTTCCTGTAGGCCTGAATTATTCATGTCATGGTTAAAAGAAGAAACTCCTGTTTAACTGGGTCAAGAACTCAATTTAAACGGGATGTCAGTAGGGATTACATGGTGCTTAACTACGGGATTCTGGTCTTTATGTTGCCTAGAGGCTAACAGTACTTACATGTCTTCTTCATTTGGAAACAGCCATGATCACAGCTGCACTATGCTAACACTCAGTCCAGAAAACTTTCATTTGACAGCAGTGGTGTTTCCCTGACTTTTGAAAAGGAATTAGTATCCACTGTAGAATTCTCATCTTTCCTTGTCTATGTCTACATGGCTGCTGTACATGCCATGGCTGAAATGAGGCTAATCCTCATGACAGAGCAGAGGTCTTTACTGTTTGTGTCCCTGGGTTACCTATAACTCTTTAGTAAAGTGGTGGTGTGGGACTGGATATGGCTGGCACAGATGAGACATCAATTTAAGAAGTGAGAAGGAAATGCAGATAATCCACTGAGAGTGATGGACCATACACATGGGCTGTCATTACCACTCCAGAACACATCAGGCCTCTGCTAAGGTGACAGCAAGGCAAGATCAGATCCAAGATCTGTATGTAGACAAATATGGACTCTGCAGAATGCCTTGCTGTGAAAGCAATGACTGTTGATACCTTCTCAACAGGTTTTCCCCTTCCACACCCTCTGTGGAGCTACTTCCCAGTTGTTACAGTCACAGCACACTATTGCTGCTTACCTGTCTGATTCTGATGGAGTCACACTAGGGCCAGCTGTTCTGGGAGGCCAGTGACATCTGAGAGGACACAGTGGTAAAGAGTAAAGGTGGAAAACCTCAATGTCCTTGTTATTGTATGGATTGTTCAGTGTCCAAGCTCCATTTCACTAGAGCATTTGGACTGTTTCACCTGGAACCAAACCAAGTCTAGGTGCACTTTAATTCTACATAAATACGACCTATTACCAAACAAGTTCAGGTGGTGTTCCAGACATTTTCTGATAATGACATTGCCACAATAGTTGTCCACTTCACTTGGTAATAAACCGTCTTCCATTTTTTATTAATGAGTTTTAATTACCTGTTTATGAAGAGCTTGTAGCTACTTTGTGTTCTTGACCCACTGAGGGTGGAATCCCACGATCTGTGTGTCTGTGGAACTTTCCCTGAAAGAAATAAAGGAAATTTCACAATTGAAGCAATAGTAGCAGCATCAGATTTTGGGACAATTACAACACAGAGAAAATTTAGACTGGTTAAATTCCCCTTCTGTGTCCTTGCCTGGGCATGATAAATGGCTATTTGGTAAGGCTAAGTGAATTAGCAGTATTCAGTACCCCCAGCAGTATTTCCAGTTCTCTAGTTATTGTTATTTCCTCTTCATAACACTTCATGTGAATGTAATTTAGAAAACAGCTGTGTAGGTACAACGGCTCCTATATCCATATGTATGGAGGTAATTTGTGGAACAGCTTTTGCTCTTGAGAAATTATGGCTAGCAGTTCTTCTTCTATTTCCAGTCATAGAACTGGGGGGTGAGCCATGAAACTTCCACAGCTTAATCAGTGTAGGATGTAAAATCACTGAAATGAAAACTGTTTGTAAATATTCTACTGGTTATTTGCTACATTAACTATATTGTGAATGTTTTTACATAATAAACATCTGTTGGGAATATAGGTTGTTTTGTGCGTTATGAGCAAATAAGATTTGTATAATTTTTCACCTTCAGTCCTCTCTGCCACTGCAGAAAGGACAGGTGTTGCTCTGTCCAAATACACGAATGCTGAAATGTAGAGCTAGAACCAGAAAGGTTTATACAAGTAATATTTCCAGGAACGTTTCTTCTCGCAGCAGAGATGTTTTAAGTCCTTTAGGGAAAGGTGGGAAGGTTGAATTTTTCTTCAATTGGATCATTTAATTGATCTTATTTGAAGAACCGTATATCATCATATCAAAATATTACATAGGCAGAATGACAAAGGTGTTAAGATGAGCTGTGTGGAAGCAATCATTTAGGTCATGTTTCTCTGGATAAAATGTCCATGAACTACACCCTGAGACCTCACTCTGAATTTCAACATAAAAACATGACATTGAATTCTAGTGTTACCAGTTGCAATTTTAAAACTAGGAAAACTATGGTCACGTTGCTAAAATTGCATAAACACGTTTGTTCAAGCTGCAGATGGTAGTGACAAAATGTGAGATTTGAGATAAGCCAAATACTCAGGGCTAGTTACTCAAGTTAGGATTCACACTTGTGTTCTGAAACTGCATGCTGTTTAATGAGGAAGCCTTGCAAAATTCTCTGCTTACACCGTTAAGTTTCGCATAATTGTAGAAATACACTTTGACAAGCACATAAAATTCCTCTTAGTTTTTCTGCCTCAGCTGTTCTGGCAGTGGGACAAGGTGGCTAGTTTCAGCAGCCAGAGTGCCATGCTCTGATCACAAATCCAGCACGCTCCTGATGTTTAAGTAACCTGTGGCCCTCAAAGAAGTTGATTCTGCAGATGATTAATTTATTAGAAATTAAATGACCTTCTAAAGTACAGTCTGGATAGAGATGATCTCCCTTGCTTTACTATATTTACCACTTTTCTCAGATAATGTATTTTTCTAATACGTTCTCATGAAAGAATGTCTGAGGCAAACAAGATCTCACATTCTGTGTTTTCTGCTGTATTTTCAGAGTTTTGTCTTACAAAATCCTGAATACAAACAGCTACCAATGTTTCAGTGGAGACTGAGACAGGCACAAATTCACTTTTGTTGATTTCATGACCAAAATTTTATGGAAAAAAAAGCACTTACAAAACAGGCTTTTTGTTTGTGTACTATGTGCCACTAGGTATGTGAGTGACCCGTGTGCATCACATAGGGAGCAGCTGCAGTTTCAGGGTTTTTTGCTGCTGATATTGATTGCAATCCTGGGGCTTCAGGAAAGCACCTTTTAGGGGGAGAGAATCAACAGTAGTTGTATGAATAACCTCACCTTCCTCATCCTTGGGGTTAAGGGCCTGGAGCTGACAGACTACTACATGGTTTGGGTTTTTTTTGTTTGTTTGTGGTGTTGGTTTTTTTTGTGTGTGTTTTTGGTTTTTTTTTTCCCTTGGTTTCCTTTCTTGGGTTTTGTTTTGGTTTTTTTTTTTTTTCCCCCCCGAGCTTCTATTTGCTTTCTCTCTGTGAATTATCCCCTGGAAGACTTGTGATCATGCAGTAGGCATTCAGCTTTGTGGCATACTTCCTAGGGAAATGAGTTCCTTGAGATCATGCTCTATTTATTTTTGCCTACTAATTTTTAAGCCTTTCAAATTTGGAAGAGTGTGGGTAATATGCTCCTACAAGTTTCATGACAATCAGCAGCTGGGTATCAAATTTTTTGTTTGTTTGTTTGTTTGTGGTGTTGGGTTTTTTTTTGTGTGTGTGTGTGTTTTTGTTTTTTTTTTTCCCTTGCTTTCCTTCCTTGGGTTTGGTTTTGTTTTGTTTTGTTTTTCCCCCGGGCTTCTATTTGCTTTCTCTCTGTGAATTATCCCCTGGAAGACTTGTGATCATGCAGTAGGCATTCAGCTTTGTGGCATACTTCCTAGGGAAATGAGTTCCTTGAGATCATGCTCTATTTATTTTTGCCTACTAATTTTTAAGCCTTTCAAATTTGGAAGAGTGTGGGTAATATGCTCCTACAAGTTTCATGACAATCAGCAGCTGGGTATCAAACACAAACTAATGCTCCACAGTAACAAAGATCAAGGACTGCTCAGCAGTCTTCTGCTATTTATGGCATCAATGAATTAACCAGTTGGTGTGCATACCTTGTTGCATCATAACTGATGTAGTGAATGCTAGGGTTATTGCCTTGGGTAAGAAATTGCTGAGATTAAAAACTCACATGTGCTTACAGAGCATGTCTGAATCCATGCCACAGGAGGACTTAGTATTTAATTTCTCATGGAGGTTCATAGAAGGAGAAAGTAAACTCCAAAGTACAGAATAAACTTCCACCTCTGGGTCTGGAAGGTCAAGAAGTGCCCCAGTCAGGATGGAAGAAAATTTGAAAGCAGATGGAAGGGTGTGTTACTGTGGAATGGAGAACAGCCATGGGCAGCAGTTTGAGAATGGGGAGCTGACATGGTAAGCTTGTTTTTTTAGGGGACAGTGAAGACATTTGGCAACAGGAACTTTTTGCTCTTGGCCAGTGTTAAAGTCCTGTCCAGGCATTCCTAGCTCAAATTCCAATTTAATCATGAAGGTACACATGCACAGCAGTTTTCCCCTGTCTGCTGAATTCCCTTCTTTGCTTCATAGTATCCCCCTACCCTGTGATTTAGGTGACTTGGGAAGGGCCCTGACCGATGTCTACCACAGTGTCTTTGCTGAATGCATTCTCTCCCAGTTTCCTTCATGGTGTTCCTGCCATAAAAGGACTGAAAGTGGAGAAAGTTCATAGTAAATCAGAAGGGCACCAAATGAAATCTGGCATATAGCACAATGAAACCAATGTGCTGAGCAGCAAATACACAGTGGCTTTAGGACAGAAATTAAAAAAAACAACAAGGGGTAATTTGGGTTTTTTTTCCCCTCTAGATTTCAAAATTAGTCCTTTTGGTTTTAAATGGGCTTGAGGAAATATTAATCCACATCATTCAAATCTTAGATATTATTCAAAGATTCAACTGATTTCAGTGCTGTCATCTTCATATTGCCCATCATATGCATTTGTAGGGCAGCTCCACCATTTCTCATCTGTTTCAAGACACCACATGCCAGAAATATGCTGTCAGACCTTGTCTGTGATCTGCCAAATACCTTCACCAGGCAAAAGGCATAAAGCAAGAAAGAGGTGATGGTGCTTCATGGTCACCAGGGAATATATAGTTTTACAGCAGGACACAAGTGAAAAGTAATCCAGTATAAAAGGATCTGTTTTTCTCTGCAATTTAGCACAAATATAACTCCCTAGTCATACAACCACAAGTGCATGGGCGTACCTATCACCTGACCATGCATGGGTAGTTTCATAATTCATAAACAATCTTTCAGGAAAATATTACCTCTCCTGTGTCCTCGATTAGACAGTATCAAAGATGTACTTTCAGAAATACTATTTGAGTCACTGTAGTCCACAGAAAGTTGTCTGTAATCTTCTGTTGACTGACTGTAATTCATTAATTTGGACCCTTTGTCTGGAAACAGAAAGGAAATATGGTGAATTATATCCTTTAATTATAAATCATTGTATCTGTATGATAACATAACATTTGGCTTAACTAATTTTTATATAGTCCATGTCTCTCTGTTTTCTAACCCTGACTTTAGTTTCTTAAGGAGCAAAGGAGGTTTGGTAACTGCATTCTATGACTTTCATAATCTTATTCTGATCCGGAATAGTTCTCATGGTTCTCCTCAACCATTCCAATTAAAACAAATCTAATATATTAATTTTATTCAACATCTTTAACTGAAAGGTTGCAAAGTGCAGAAAACCTGAAAAGTTCTCCTTCTTTACATTCTGAGGCCCAAGACTTTCAGCTATAAACTATTCTTTCTGTGTACAGATGGACATTGCCCAGAAACAATGCATTACCAGAGCTGGCTGTAACAAATCAGGGGCTATCCTAGGTCATTAGGAATTACATATTTCTGTTGCTCCCTAACTTCACTTTATTTGCATTATCTCTTGTCCTTTTTCATAATTTTGTGAAGGTGATAATTTTTAATTAAAAAAAAAAAAAAGAAGAAAAGGAATGTTGCCTTGAAAAGTATCTCTTTTTCTTATGACCAGAAATACCTAACAGAAATGTTCCACAGGTATTTAAGCATGTGTTTAATTCTAGCTGAAGTTAATAGAACATATATGTGATTTGCTGAATAGGAATTGGCTAGTTCATATGCCTAATATTGGACATATCAAAAAGAAAAAAAAAAAAGAAAAAAAAAAAGCCTGCATAGCTTAGGCTAACCTGTCCATGCAAAATCAGAGATTTTTGTTGAAGTGAAAAATACAATACAGACACTAGGAAAAAAAAACTATCTGAAACCCACTTCTAGCTGCAGTTAGAGAATTACTCTGAGGGATAATCAAATATTGATCTTAGTCAAACGAAATGTGAAATCAGTATATGCTGGTTTATTTATGTAGTGAGCAGGATTTGGCCTTGTGTCTTGAAATCACTCCAGCAATCCATGTGTGAATTTATAAAATGTAGTTAGAATAGAAAAACAGAACTAAAATCAAAAAGAAACCACAAATCTTTGCTTGAGTGATCAAACAGGAAGGATGAATATATATTGCTTAATGACAACAGGATAACTTCATAGAATCCCACTCTACCTTTGAAAATACACTGGAGTATACAAACTGCAAAAGCAGTTTTGAAAGTAAATTGTTTTTTCATATACACAGGTTTTATGTAAAGTGCTGTAAGAGTCAAACCTTTGCTAGCTGATTTTTTATCATTGCTTCACAGCCCTCCAACTATTGTCCTTTGAGGAAAGAAGGAACAGAAACCTTGCTGACTTGTCTCAGAGTCTTCCCATTATGAAGTCATTTATATGTAAAGCAATAAATACCCTATCCAACACTACATGTAATCACTACAGCATGAAATTAAACAACTCATCTAGCTTGGGAAAGGCTCAGAAAAGGCTGGCCATATCCTTATTAGATAGCTCAGATTATAAGTCTTTCCTTACCTTGGTGAAAATTCATCTGGGAGGACAGTGGTAAGGTGTCAGGTATTTTCTCATGCAGCCTTTTCCTTATCACATGACTTCTGTTAAGCTGAGAGGCTGTGGTGTCTTCGGTGACTACCCACTCTACCTAGAAGACAGTAGTACTGCAAGTCAATGTCACACAATATGTGGACTTCAGACTCTCACACTGAGGTGACCCTTGCCCTGTGCTTGTCAGAGGCTGCTGCCTTGCTCGGTATAAGCAACTTCATCTTCTCAGATTAAGACAAAGCAGGATTGAGTTTTTGTGGCTTCCTGCTGTCGTGCTAGCTGTGTTTAAGACAGGACACCCTCTGTTACAGTGGGAAATAGAATAATAGAGAGTGTGATGGAAAAGGTTATTTCAGAATGTTAATGAATACTGGTTGAAAGCAAAACAAGATATTAACAGTGGACAGGACATCCTCTGTTACAGTGGGAAATAGAATAACAGTGCGATGGAAAAGGTTATTTCAGAATGTTAATGAATACTGGTTGAAAGCAAAACAAGATATTAACAGTGCATTTTCTTGCCATTTCATTCATCTTATCAACAAAAAATGTATGTTAATATTTCAGATCTTGAAAAAGACTCAGGTGTTTATTAAAGACTTAACATGGTCAAGCTTGATTGCCCAGCAGATGCTTGGTTACACTCAAGAATGATGAATGAAATTCTCAATATAATGTAAATGTGGTTTCTTTGAATTTCACAAAGAAATTCTGAAAGCCGAGGGGAAAAGGGGAAATCTTTCCTCTCGTATAAAGTTCACTCCTTTGGCCAATATGAAATCTCTGTAAAGGTTATGATTGCTTCAGTATTAACCAAAGAAATGAAGATACTGTAAGTGCAATAGCTGGATTTATATTATTTCCCAGGAGTGTAAGAGTGGTATGAGAGATGGCTTCATTGCCTCATTTGCTTGTACACATGCCCACTCATTTTAGTTCTTAGAAGTCTTAGAAGCAAATCTCACTTCCATAATTCATACAGCATTCATGTCAGGCAATTCCCTATCTGTATCTCACATGGCTACTCACCTCTCTCACCAAAGAAAAGCAGATGATAATATGAGAGTAGTACCTACCTCACTGACACTTCCCACAGCAAACTGCACCATTTTCTTTATGTAGATATTTGCTGGTAAGGAAGAACTTTCTTTCTGATGTGCCTCGCATGCTTCTAGAATTGACTCAGGAGAAAGCCTTTTTTGTGGCAGATCTTCACATAGTGTCAGCAGGAGCATGTGTAGTTGGTCACTCAGCTGGAGGGACTGAATCAAAATGAAGATACTGTTAAACGACCTCTCCCAGTGGTCTGAAAATCTGTGTGGGACCAGGAATTTCTGTAAGCCTTTCACTCTGGGTGAGAAATGGGCACTGAATTCCTTTAGACTTTGGAAAAGTTCCAGAGAGGCAGCATAACAGCACTATATGGAGCCACTAATGGGATCCAGGATAGCTTTGGAGAGAACTGGCATCTATAAGGAGGGTCATCAGCCCATATATTGGGGTTTATGGTAACAGACAACATCTCACCATCAGCCCCTATATAGGGGCTTATGGTGACAGACAACATCTCAGTCTGCTCCTCAGCTTTGCTAATTAGATTATGAATCTTAAAGATTCATGAAAGTAAGGCATGGTAGCATTAGCTTCAAAAAGGTGAGGAGTTACACCAGCCAAAACTGTTGCCATAGAGACCATATACTTAAATTTTAGAGTAATTTAGCTTGTAGAGCCTTTTTTCTTAGACTATGTATACCTGTAAAAGGAAAGGTAAATCTACTAAAAGCTTGTGCTCTCCAAATCGAAAACATGGAATCAAAGGCATGAATATAGAAACAAAATTAAATGTATGCCACAAATCTTTGAAAGGGTTCTGGGTAAGCAAGAAATGAAAAATACCAACTACCACAGATGATGGTAAAGTTTCCACAGAAATAAGGGGAGTTATTTAGTTTTATCCCAGCGTCCCATTCTTAGAAAAAGCACACAAATGTGCACAGCACTGCAATCACGCTGACATGTTGCTCTTTTAGTTTCTCCTATCTTAGTATCATAGAATCATTTAGGTTAAGAAAAACCTTTAAGATCATTAAGTCCAACCATTAACCCATCACTGCAAAATCCACCACTAAACACGTCCCTAAGTGCCACAACTACATGTCTTTTTAATTCCTCCAGGTATGGTATCTCAACCACTTCTCTGGGCAGCCTGTTCCTTGTTACATAATCTTCACTCCTGAAAGCAAGGGACAATTTATCTTAATGGGCACAATTCTAGTTTTTTCAGAAAAAGGAAAGATGAGGCCTAAGTTCCTGATTTGGATGTCCCGATATTTTTGGTGAAGTCTTGACTGACAGAAGCTTTCCAATTCTTTCTAGTGGTCCAAAAGATGAAGCCCCTCTTACTGTGACTTCAGATTATGCCTCTCAATCTTTGAGCCTACCAATGTAAAACAGAATAAAAGGAAAGAAAAATATCTGTATTACTGGCCTGGTTTGGAGGAACCTGGTAGTCTGCTGACCAATAAAGGGTCATTCCTAAGGAGTATACCAGCATCTGTCAAAAAAGTAAAGTCTTTATGAAGACAACATTAAATACAGAAAAACCTTGTACTAGAGAGCCCATCCTTCTGTGGTTTTGGTGACAAAATGGTGGAAACCAAACAGATATTTATTTTTTTTTAAATAGACTGGTGAAAAGATATATAAAATTACAATAGAGACTCTTGTCTTATGGACTAGATAGTGTGAAAAGAGCATTTCTCACCTTTAGGGGCTGAGCCAGGCTGCCCTTTCTCCAATGATGCCATAACTAGGAAAAGAAACTGAACTCCTTTCTTAGCTTTGAAATTCCCCTATTGGCAGTTAAAGCTCTTCTTTATCTGTGGGACTGACTAGAAGTTGTGTCCAGGAGGGGAATTACTGAAGTAAGAGCCATCCTTTTCAAAGCTTCATAATTCTGCACAGCATTAAGTGATCAGTTGTGTTGCCATCTGCAACTACTGTGTTCTGCCTGAAGGAAGTATGCACTGATGTGGTCCTAGTGGTATTTAAAACTTCTAGGTACCTGAGTGCTGTACCTTGCTCAGAGACACTCGTTTGGCAGGGAGAAGAAAAGTATATTGTTAAGAAAGCTGAACGTATTTCTGACTTCCTGGGAGTATTTCCACTTTCTGATTGTATGGATACTGCAATCCTGCTGCTTCTGGGATTACAATTACTACATATGGTCAAACATCATGTTCATAGAAATATTCTTCCTTTCTGTGGGCCTTAACAAATAATACATTTCTGCAGACCTTGAGGACTGATGGTCAAAACTGATTTCATGTTGACATGCTAATCTAATGGCAAGCTACAAGACACACACAAATCTTTCTAACTGTAGCCCAGTTTTAGTGTTATTAGAAATGGAGTTTTACAGTAGATACTTGGTATGCTGCATTAAATTCCACAAGCTTGTCTTCATGAAGTACTGTCAAGGTTGATTTTGTAATCTGCCTCACCTTTGTTAGTCCGACGCGCTGGTTTTTACTTTGTCTGTGGAACAACTCTGGTGCACTGAAAGGGACAGCTTCTGTCTGAGATGTATTGTTTTGGAAGGACAAATTTCCTTCTGCAGACAGTAGTACTGACCATGGACAAATCACAGAGATGGCAGGGTCTGAAAAATGTTCAAGAAGATAATGGAGTTCTTAGTGTTGAATTCATTGCACTCAGAAAATCATATTGCTGGTATCTCACCTGCATAGTCAAACCCATCACTGAAGTTTCTTGGAGATGTAGCCAGAAGTCAGTGGAATCATGTTCATTTATGCCTGGCTGATTTTATTAGGTGGAATTCAGTGGTGGTTAAAGAGTTGACTTCTGTCTCACATCATTTCACCCATAGAAATAATATATTGATTTCAATGGATTTCCAAAGCCTAAGGAAAGGCAGAATTATACCCCCATGTGCAGATTATGGAGACAGACCTTGACTTTTTTTTTTTTGGTAGATATTTTTATGCAAAGCACAAAACCAGAGAACAGAGGCCATTCAGATCTCCATAGGAGAAGAGCTCAGAAACATGCCTTAAATGTTTCGGGATTTTAGCATTTAAAAGTTATACATTAGAAATAGCTACTTAGTTCTTAAGTGTGGTGGAGGAAAATAGATGGTAAAAATGGATAAAAAGTTAAGCTTGGAAATTATATATGCCCGTGAGGTTTGTACAGCCAGAGAAACCAGAGATTCAAAATGTATGGACCACTGGTATGTGCATCCATTGTGGCATTTACTTCTTTTGAGAATTAAAGCTTTTAAAATTATCAGGTAACTTCTTTTGCTCCTTCTCCCTTTTCTGTAGTATTGTATGCAAATACAACTAGCATATCCTGCCATGCTTTAGAAACAGCTTGTACTTCAGCCTCAGTGAAGATTACCTTGCTTTATGTAATATTGGCCAGCCAATAGGTGAGCATGCCTGCCTAACCAGCCAGTGGGCAAGCATGTTGGAAATATTGCTACAGCTCGTGGTGATGACCATCACCAGGTCTAGCAGGATTGGTTACATCAAGAATATTGCAGCAAAAACATGGCAGTGCTAGCTCTGAGAAGAGGCTGATTCCAGAAACAATGTAGCTGTAGTTAAGAGATGTGGAGACAGAGGTACACCTTAGTCAACCTAGATGATGCTATGCTGAGGCAGTTCACCTCCACACCCCCAAGAAACCAGAGCACTGGAGATTCAGCTTCAGAATGAGACCAGAGTGGCATTGCTTCTGAACTTGAGCTCTCTGAAGACATGTTTGAGCAACCTTGCATTTGACCAGCTTGGATCTACATCCCCACTTCCTCTTGTTTTACTCTTCATCTATCATCATAATATCCTAAATTTATCTGGCGCAGCATAGGGAACGTGCAAATTATGTCAATTCAATACACACCCAATAAGTCTTATTTTATTTTGTTTTATTTTATTTTATTTTATATTTTATCTTATTTTAAAGAGATCAGGAAAGCATAGTGTCGGCTTAGTGTCTGGTACTAAGTTAATAAGCTGTGATGGACCTGATCTGAATCCGTCCAGGTGAGTAGCTCTGTGCTGCACTCCTTTGTACATTCCTGGTACCTGTCTTGTCTGGCCTGTTCTGTCCTCTTGTTACACTAGATAATAGAAAACTGATGCTATAGTCAATCTCTAAACAGTGTTCCAGTCCATTAAAAACTAGTTGGTAATAAAAGTTCACGCCTGCAGCTGTAGCAGAAGTTACTCATCACTTATTTTCAGTATTTTGTAGTTTGATTCTACATGCTCATGAGGTAGGAACATGTCTCATCTATTCTCCCATCAAAAGGAATATCCATTGTCATAAACAGTTCTCAAAATGTGACAGGTTGCTCAGCTGTGCTCTCTTGTACAGCTGGCCTGCTTGGCAAACATTCATCAGGATGACTTGCGTAGCAATTATGATAAGTCACATTATTATCATCAAGGATGAAAGTTTCTTACTAGCTGAATGAGGAACCATGTGATTTTGCCTGTCCTCTATCAGTACATGGATGATATGATCCTAGCTGGAACTGTACTTTCTGTGTGTGTATGTATGTTATTCAGACATTAGGGAAGACTCTTCTGTACTGTTCCACTGTGTATAGTTGTACTTAGGTGAATTCGTATCTGATGTGTAATTTGGAAAAAAAGAACCAAACCCTGTGTGAAAATCTCTAACACAGGCAGCACACTCTGCATGTAATCCCAATGGCACTGAAAGGTTTCTCATTTTTATTAGCAATGTATGATTATTGCCATTAGTGCTTCTTGTCTCAAGAAAACCCCAACCAACGACAAACTCAACAGAGCTAAAATAACTCAAAAATTCATTTCCAACAGTAAGAACTATAAGATGATACTTTTCACCTCACCTTTGTGAAGGTCCTCCAGAAGCTGCACCGTGGCCAGGTACAAGAGGGCCCATATTTCTTCTTCCTCCAAAGGACTTCCTTTTGCCCACAGGACCTCGGCCAGTGTCACGCAGGAACTGTTCATGCCTGCTGCAATAGATTGGATTTTGACTCACTACAGTAGACTGAATTGCACAAAGCAAACTATACTGATTACAACTGTACCTTTCTCTCACAATAAGTATTTTGTGAACTGCCCTGCTTCTTTGTTCACAAAACGTAGGTATCATTCATCCCTATCTTAATCTAAGTAACAGTAAATAAAGGGGACTGAACTAAGTGACTTCCTGTAATTTTTTTGAGCCCTTTAACTCATCATTTGAAACCAATCACAAGATTCTGTGGGGCAAATAGTTTTTACTCAGGAGATTCTGCATGGATATGTGCTGTTTGGGCTTTGTGAATGGTTATCTGAATGGCAGGACATTGATTTTGCTGCTTAATTGTATGCTCTTGTGTATAAAAACATGACAGAGCCAATCTAAGAGGAAAAGAATGGTGAAGAAAAACAGATGCACTGTAATATAAAGGTTTATAAACACAGTCAAACAGAGCAATTGAGTTTCATTCATTGTTCAGCAGACTGATCAGGAAAAGCTTGGAGACTTACTGAATTTATTAAGGAGAGATTTTCTTGGTCAGATACGCAGAACTTCCCATTCATCCATACCAATATATGTATAAACTTGCTTTATTTCATTAAACCAAATGGAAAGATGATTCCCTCTCTGAATAATAATTTAGTGGCTCCCAGCACACTGTTTTATCTGACAGGTATGTAAGACCAGGGATACTGCAAAAGAATGTTGGTCTGCACACTCTCCTTGTTTTGTCTCAGCTGCAATGCAGCATCAGATCAGTTAAAGGCACCATGTAGTGAAACATAATTTAATATCTTACCTATTGGAAAAGTATTTTCCTTATCCCAGCCAACTGGAAACTGACTTGTGACTTGAAGAATCAAGCCATTTTTTCTTCTGAATGTTTTATCATACTAAATATTGTCAAAGAAGTTTTTGTTCTCCATAAATGGGTCTGTTCATAGAATCATAGGGGTTGGAAGGGACCTCGAAAGATCATTTGCTAACCTGGGTAGAGCTGCTCTAGGTCTACCCATCTGTAAGGAAAACTGAATCCAAGCTATTTTTGCTAACAATTTTTGGAGTTAGTTTACCCTTTTGTTGTTACTATCCTGTAACAGTGAGCTCCATAGCTTCATGGTATGCTGTGTAAATAGGGACATAATGAGAAAAGCTGGAAATGATCCATCTATTTCTTGGAGGTTTTGAAACTGCCTGTAGACCACCAAGTGAGGACACTAGAGCCTAGGATGCTATTGTCATGTATAGGATTTTAAATGCCACTGCAAAATGACCTCACTTAGAGCCTGAAAACACGTCTTGTCCCCTAACCATTTCTTCACCTCAGTATACAGCCCACATACTGCTACCATTTGCTCTCTGTCTGCAATAGCATTTACTGTGTCTTACAGCTCATTTCTTTGCCAGCTTCCTGTTTATTATTCAGTCTTCAAAGGGTCACTGCAAGAGCATTACAATGTTCTGCCAGGACATTGCTGTCCTTGTTGCTGATTAATAGACTACTCAGATTTTGATTCATGGGGTCTTGTCTTGGCTCACTAGCTTCCAAACAAGGAATCACAGCACTGGAAGAGTGCTCCCTTGCTGCAATCACTACAGGATTCCTGACCAACCTAGTGACATTTGAAACAGAACCAGCATCCTAATTTTAGTCTCTGAAGCTTCAAAGGGTAGTAAAGCTTCTTAAGAACCTAACCTTAATTAGAAGAGACAGACAAATCTTCTTAATCTAAGCCATCACCATTTCTCTTAGTAATAAATTACTGTGATAGCATTTCACTTAACCCTGTGATACTGGGACTAAGCAATCAATTCATGTCCACAGAGCTAGAATCTATGTCGCTTTTCTATATGGGTAATCCACCAGACTGTACTTGGTGTTGTTTAATTTGAGATTGTGCTTGGGGAAAGAGCACTGCAGCCTCTATTTTAGATAGAAGTGCTTACACCAAGTGATTTCAGTGCTGAGATTTCTAACTAGCTTGAGTTACTCAATAAGCAACTGTAGAGAGTGCAGGTGTTATAGCTTTATAGAGCCAAAGTAAAAGCAGGAGTTAGAAGAGAGGTGCTTAACTTCTCCAGTGAATGTTTATCTAAGAGTAAAATTAATGTCTCAGATCATTACCAAATAAGAATTAAATGAATTTTGCTAGCGGTGGTGTGCAAAAATTATTAGATTGTATGACCATGGAAATAATAATCTATTTGAAGTGTATTAAATTATTGCTTTAATAGAATTTAAAGTAAGTGATGTGTAATTTTACAGGCAAATTTGCAACTGATTTTTAAACACAGTCAGAATGTCCTGTAATTTTGGGCTGTATTTTTGACTTTTGGTTTTCAAGACGAGCATGATGTGATATTTGACAAAACTATAACTGTATCAGTGCTTTGGCAAAAAAACAATAGGATTCAAATCTATTTATAGCCATGCTGTGTATATGATATGAAAGTAAAAGTGATATAAAGATACTATCATTGTAACACTGCACATATTCATGGTCCCTCAATTTAATTAAATCTGTGATCCATAAGCAAACAATTCTGACCTTCAAACAAGCTACAACTGATAAGGCAAGGCAGACAAATAAGAAGGCAAGGAGGAAAAAGTTAACAATAACCTTGCAAAAAGGGACTCGATGGTTCACAGTAACACCACACATCAGGAAATTATGCTGGATCTAGTTGAGCCTGCAGGGAAAAATTAGAGCAGCAGAATGTAATCACCCGCTTTGGAGTTTGGCCAGGATATAGAGGTTAACGTATTTGTGCCTGGAAAAAGCAGCAAAGGGCTTTCAGCACCAATTTATGCTTTGAGGTCAAAGACAAATCTTCTGCTGACTTTTATGGAAAAAAGTGGTGCTATCAGAATAGTCAAATTAGCCTAAAATAGCCTCCCCATTCTTTGCAACACATTAATTCATTATGTGGACTGCCTCAAGTCAATAGATTTTCCCCTGGAAGAATTTAAGCTACTTTTTTTTGCATAGATATGAAAGGTACACTGAGGTGAGGCTAACCCGTAATTTTGTCACAAACATCCACCTATTTATCACATTTCATTCTAGATTATTCTATTTTGGTACATTTTGTTTTATCATATGTGCAAGCTTTCATCCAGTCATTGAAATCTAAGATCAATAAAAGAAATTGAATTGATTATAGAAGATAATGAACTACAGCTTTGCAACTGAATTAAACACTTAGTAGCAATCACACATTAGAATTTCATGTGTCAGGGTCACTTTATGTGCAAATTTGCTTTATTAGATTTGGCAGTCTTATCTAGTAAAAAGTAAGGGAGCAACTTGGCTTTTGTCAACCTTCATTTTTGCTTTAGCTACTTTGTCAACTGTATGAAGACAACAAAGGAGCTAAAAACTATCATTTTTGTCAGGAAACTGACCTCCTCTTATCAAATACAGTCATGTGTACTAAACATCCTCAAGAGGAACAGAGCATCAGGCTTGCTAACTAAATGACAGTCCTTTTCCTGCAAGCCTACCAGAAGGAGTTTACTGTGGAGTTGACTCAGCTGTAGAATCAATGAACACTTTACTCCATTACCTGGACAACGGTGAAAAAAAAGGATGACAAGGGAGATCATGGGACACAGCAGTAAATAAGGTGTTGAGGAAGGAGAAATCACATTTATGTTTTGAAAAATCTGGGGTCAAGGTTGTTTCAGGTCTGCTTTTAAAGGCATGAAGTAAGAACAGATTTGCCCTATTTGGGCATCCTAAAGAACAACTGGAAATGAGAACTTTGGTCAAAAGCTTGTGTATAAATACAACTATGAAGGATTAACCTTGGACAGGAGCCAAGCGTTCTGTGAACTGGAAAGGCTTCTGTCCATCTAGAAAGACCTTTCAATTTTCACTGTCTGGAAGCTGTTCTTGCAGAGGTTTTGTCTTTCTTCTGCTGAACATCCAGTTCTGCTTCATTACTCTATCTGTATTTCCATATACCTAGCTGGAAGTCTAACCAGCTTTTAAACTTCTGAAGGATGTAATCAGATCTAATTTTGTAAACAGTTGTGCCTGAGAAAGGTGTATTGCCTATTTATGGTTTGGACAAAAATGCCCATCACAGCCTCTCTACTACAGGTGACTAATTGATTTTAACATGAGTGAGTCAGGCAGAGACCACATAAGTAGGTCCTCTAGGAGATCTGAGAGGCTGCTAACCTCAACCACTAACCTCACTACAGGAGTATGAGTGTAGGCTTGTACTGACAGGCAAGTGAGAGGGCGCTTGGAGTGTAACCTCTTCCATTTGCACCACTGTATCCAGAAAAAGTTGTCTACTCACAACATCACATGTAAGCTGGTGTAAACCCCCTTCACATAAAGACATACGAAGTTGCCTAATAGTGATTTTGCTTAATTTAACTATTGTTCTGTGTGGAAAAATCTGAATCTCCACCGGTCACTTTCAAGGGCAACTTTAGAGACGAGGAATTGTTTCTTCTACCTGCCCCATTGAAGGACACACCAATAAAACAACACAAAAGTCTATAAAAACATGGTCTTTCACCAGCTTTCTCTAGATACAGAATTTTTAATAGCCTTCTATCCCTTTCAGCTGTTGTACTCCAATATCTTACAGGTCTAGCAGTCCCCTTTAGGCCTCAGGTGCTGCCTGTCTAAAAGCACCTCTTGTAAATAAATGACCAAAACCAAGGGGACCCAATCCTGCTTCAGTATAGCCAAAGGCAAAACTTCTATCAGTGGGAGCACGATGAAGTGGGGAAAAAGAAAAACTTTTTGGAAGAAGAGACTTAGCCAGAGGACCTCAGGTGCTGTTCTGCAAGATGTTAAGCAATCTGCTTTCAAATCTAAGCTGATCAAATGCCAGGAAAGATTGGAACTTGAAATTACATTTTCCTAGGGTGCTGGAAGGCTAATACACTGATTTTAAGGGCTGAAATGGGGTCCAGACCAGACAGAATAGCAAGACAGACTTGCTAATTCTTAAAGGTCTT